GGATAATTACAGTACATTTCTCAAAAAATGTCATGAGATATTGTGGGAAAAAAAGACCAGCCTTGAAGTATGGCTTTTCACATTTACTCAGGATCAGCAGGGAGGAATAAGGGGCCCTCCCCCGGCCCCCACCCCCCGGGGTTGAGCTGGGGGACTTCCCCACCTCAGTTCTCAACATATCCATCTCATTGGTCCTCCTTTATGTATAAATGCAAGTGTTTGTACATGATACCTAGCACGTAATTCTTAATCCATCATACAGGTGTTTATTCATAAATAAAAGTAATTTTAGACATAGACAATACATAAATATGATATCTTCCACCTCTCGCCCCACTTAGCAGCTTCCAGAAAATGTGGTGGAATTCCTAAGAAAAGAAGGCCTGGTACTCCCAAGAAAACAAACTTCAAAAGGCTATTACATTTGAAAAGACATTCAAATATACATTTTGGGAAAATAAAGGAAGTCGCACTAAGTGGGGTCAGATATGCATTTGAAAAGAAATTCAAATGTCCCTTTAGAAAAAAAAGCAGTCACCGGCCTGTTTGCAAGAACAAAGAGAAGCAAAACCTTGAGGGTTGGTAAGGGTTCTGAGGATTGTTCTGAGAGGTAAAACTATAAGCATGGTTTTTATTTTTTAAACCTTTCCACTTTCTAACATGTGACACGGAGCTCGGTTCATTTTGAAGGGGCTGATTTTAGTAACAGAGGATCAAATAAGATCATGCAAAAAGCACACTTAGCACAGGGTCTGGAATGCAAAAAAGTGCTTAAAATGCGAGAGCAGCATCATTACCATGTGTGTGCGCACGCGCATTCACGCACGTGTGATTTTAAGGAGTGTAAATGGGTGGCTTTTTGTCCTCTGTCCTTTTCTCCTGGTTGCCTCTGAAGTGCTAGGAGAACTGGGGCAGCAGGGGGAGGAGCGAGGAAATGGATGGATAAAAAAATTTTGGCAGCCCAGGATCATGACATATTTTTATGCGGCGATCAGTAGGAGGTGTGAGCAAGTGAGTTTGGTTTGTTTTTAAGCTTTAAGAGGTAAAATGCCAACATTTGCTAATACTGATCACAAAGGAGAGCTAGTCAAGTCTATGCACACACAGTCACCACTCATTTGCATGCCGGGCTCTTGACAGGGTGGGTGAGAAGAGGTGACCACATCTCCCAGGGAATGTCACCTCTGCCTGGTTCACCTAAGGTCGTACGTCACTCATGGACAATCATTCAGGTCTTTGGTCTTTGTGGATGTTGTCCGCCATGAACATCTTGGGCACCCGACTGGGAACCCTAAGGGTCAATGTTACAAAAATATCTTTGGAGCTTGTCTCTGGTGACTTTTCCTCACTGCATTCTCGTTTCCGCTCCGAGTGCTCTAGACTCCTTTCCTTGGTAGAGGTCTGGCAGGATTCTCTTAGGTTGCTAGTCTACTCTCTTTGCTGAGGGAGGATGACGTGGGAAAGGACCAGAAGTAGTTCAGCCCCCTTGTGATCCACAGATAAATCCTTCCTTGTGAAGTTTCTGCCCTTGGGGTGGCCCAGTCACCCAAACTCCAATCAAGCCAACCAAGGTCTAAAGGTTCAAGTCAACCAAGCTCAAGCTCTTGGTTGTGCATGACAACTGGAATATTCGGGGTTGATGCTCACAGATGTCTTTGATGCCCATCAATTCTTGACAGGTGCAGCTGGTGGAACCCCATGGAAACAGCTGCCTGGTGTTTCCCCTTATTCACATATTGCTTTTTCAATCAACGCCATCTTTCCTCTGACAATATTGCTCTTCTGTTCCTGTTACCCAGCTTGCCTGGAGAGCTCGAGAAGCTCAGCGGTCAAGGTCAGAAGATGAAACACCTTGTCCAGAGAAGAAAGGGATAGTTGAAGTTCTAAGATTTTAGCCAAAGATAGATAATACCAGGTTCTGTGGTGGAGGAGTCTAGGAATTAGAAGAGTTGGCTTTGAGTCTCCCACCATTCATCCGCCTGGGTGGCTGGTGCCATCTCAAACAGGTCACGTGTCTCGCAGACCTGTTTCCTCATCTGTCACACGTGAATAATCACAACACCCCTCCCACCATCCGTGCCTGAGTCCAGCAAGGATTTGGCGAGAATTTCAACATGGTTTGTAAACTTGAAAGGATGGCCACGTAAAAGGGATTATTGTCTTGTAATTAGTATTATTAGGCATTGTTCCTGCCCAGGTTGTTTTCACTGTCATGGGGAAGATAGGACAACGTGTGCAACGGTTAGCACACAAGATGGTATCTAATCCATAGCAGGATTGTTTGGGCTCACTGTCGGCAGGAGTAAGATGGAGAAGAATATTTGAGGAACGCCTCAGGACACTGGCAGTCCTTGAGGTGGGCAGGGAAGTGCAAACTGGCTGGGATAAAAAGTTTGAAATGGTGGGAAAGTCTTTCTGCTGAATGACTTTCTCCAAGGGTAACGGTCAAGGGGATCCCCAGGCCACTTCCATGATGCTCAGTCTTCCAGACTAACGCACCTCTATCTGACCTTGCGTGTCCCAGAGGATTCTGAAGGAGTTCCTTCTGACTCACACAGTAGTTTCCTGGGGGCAGCCAAGCCTGGCAAAGTTATTACATGGTCATCAACATCTGGATTCAGGTGTGCGTTTGGTGTATTTCCAGATATGTGACTTTTAGGAAGTCACTCATTCCCTGCCCTGAAGTCCACATAATGCTGCTGTCCATGTGTTTTGACTTTGGAAGGTTTCAGTGATATAGTAACAGGGGTAATGGACATAAATGAACTTCAACACACGGAAAGGGTTCATCATTCTGCGAAAGATTTATTTTCCTTAAAGCGAGTATAATTCTCTCCAAAGTTGAGATGGTGACTAATATTTTTCAATTCTCCAGTCACCTGGCCCTGAGCTCTGCATCCAGCAAACAGGTGGGGAAGCTGTAGACACCAAAGGAAGTTAAGAAGGGTTGGATGTGGGGATGCCATCTTGTGTTCTGTGGTGAGGCTGTGTTCAGCCAGGAGAGAAGCAAGCCTCATGGACCTCTTTTGTCAGGCTCAGTCTCAATCAAATTCTGATATTTCCCTGCTCATCCTTTGGGTTCACCTAGCCCCTGAAAAATGAGGTAAATCAGACAACAGACATATTTTGTCATCTTGGATATAGAAGGTGTCATTATGGAGAGCCATAAATGAAGAATCCCACCCAATGCCATGATCCAAACTGAAAATAAGACATCATTTTTGTTTCCTATCTTTTGCCTGGCAATTCCTAGAGTCTCAGCTTCAAGAACTCCTGAGTCATTTATTCATTGTTTTTTCTTGTATGGAACAACTGTTAGTGAGTCCTTGCTCTATGCCAGGCTTGGGGCTAGGTGTGCTAGATTTCATGATAATTAAAGTTGACCATGTCCTTGACTTCCTATAATGTAGACTCTAGGGAGGGATGGAGACATCACATAAATGAATAAATACTTAATATTTCAGGTGACTAAAGGGTTTTGAAAGAAATAAACTGGGAATATCTCAGATTTGAAGGTTACTTTTGAAAGTATAGTTAAGAAGACTTTTCCATAAGGCAGAGGCCTTTGAGCTGAGAACTAAAGCGTAAGGAGGAAAAGTTAGTTTGAAGAGTTTGGAGAGAGAGGCATTGAGCATAGCAGGCACAAAGACACTGAGGCATCAGAGAGAATTTAGAATGTTTAAAGAGTTCAGAGAAACCAGTGTGGGGAAAGAGGGAAAAGTAAAGATAGGAAGGTGGGAGGGGGACAGAGGCCCAGTTCATTATGGAACCCTCGAGGTCTTGTCAGAGGTGCAGACTGTGTTCCATATCTAATGGGAAATGAGTCGAGGGTTTCAGGTATAGACATGATATGAAGTTCAAGTTGGGAGTTTCTGCCTCACAGATAGCAGTCATGGGCACTTACGCTAATGGCCTGGTTCCTTGTCTCTCCCTCACCCCACCCACTAGAACATGAGTTTCGTGAAGGCATGAAGTTTCTTGTGACCCTTTCATTGTTGAATTTCTAGGAACCCGTCCAGTGCCTGACCTTCACTAGATACTCAAGAAATATTTATTGAATTTAATCAAAGTGGAAAAGATAACTAAAATGCTGGGGGAGCTGGTGGCAAACACCAAAGGAATCAGGTGCTCAGGGTTGAAGGGTTTCAGGACAGAAGCCTATCACTTCCGGTCAGGGTAGCCAGGGGAGGCTGCCTGGGAGAGGGGGCCTTGAGTCAGAGACTTGAAAGATGAGTAGGTTGCATGTAGACATAGGGGAGGAGAATCTAGGCAGATGATGTCACGTGTCCAAAGATTGCCAGGCCCTTAAAGAATTAAAACTGGTGAGTGCTCATTTCACCAAGCTTCCAAAGCTAAGTGGATTGGAAATAGACATAGCAGAGGATTCTGGGAGAACGGGACAAACACAAGCTCTCTCCAGCGAGTGGATTCACCCTCTGGGTTTATGCAGTTGATTGCCTATGCCCTGGGGGGTTCAAAAAAACAGTCTCCCATTCCATCATCTGGCAAATCTCATCCTCAGCCTTGACAGCAAAACCCCAGACCAGTCCCATCCCTCAAAACGTCCCAATATTTCTTGATAGACACTTTTGTTGTCTTACGTGCAATAGAATTGTAATCACCTGTATTTAAAACTAATGGATTTGAAATAACCTGCAGGCTTCCACTTTAATGAGAGTTAGATTAATGAAAAAGGACCTTTTGCCTCGGATTGCATGACAACATTTTCAAATTACATTCCTGGAACAGAGAATTCACTTATTCAGAGTAATTGGATGCTGACTTGGGTTAATACGTACAATGTCCTTAAATGAAAATGTTCTATTGTAAGTGGAACTGTATGATACCTGAGGCTTTCTCAATAGATTTGGTTGGACTCTGAGTTAATTATACTGCATGCTATTTTTTGAATGAATTCAAGCATGAATTCTACACGGTAGAGATTGGGATAATTATATTCAATTCTGCTTGGTGCCCCGCTGAAAGAATTGACCTTTTAGATAAAACGAGTCTCCCGAGCAAGAAACCTGAAGAAAGTCTACACAAAGCCGGCAGATGGAAGAGCAGAGAAAGTCTTAAGTAAGAGGGTAAATGGCGGCGGGGGTGGGGATGGGGATGGGGGGCGGGGAGGCAAGCTCAAGAAACAGTAGCATCAGCAAGATTGATTTTTTTGTCACGGGAAAGTATTTCTGTTTTGTAGCTTGTTTTGTATCCTTGGTACATAAAGGTATAATTTAAAACCATTGATTTTACTAAGCTGTTTTCTCATCAGTAACACGGCTCAGAAGTAGCAGCATGAAGAATGAGACGCAGACCAAAAGCAGCCTCTGGAATATCTCTGGGTGTGAGCAGCCCCCCCGCCACCTCCACCCCCGGAAGGACTAGAGAGATGTGAGAGCCGCCATCTTGGGCTGGACCACTGGGCTGTCCTGCCTCCCACTGTGGCTTGGGGCCTAGGGATCATGGGTTTAGAGGTCAGATCCTTCCAGCAAGCCCCACCCCGGATTCCCCCAGCTGAAAGCCCGGCCACTGCGTACTAGGTGTGTGGCTTTAGATGAGAAGCTAACCCTATCTGAACCTCAGTTTCTGCATCTGCCAAATGGGGTTAAGCTCACAGCTTTGGAAGGAGGATTCAACAGCTATGAAACACTTAGCCCGGTGTGAATGCCCAGTAACCATTAGCTGCTTTCACTTATATAATTCTGCTTGTTTGTGAAATCTCTCTCTCCCCCACAAAACGTGGGGAAAAAGGCAACTCATTAAGAGAGTTAAACCCATCAGGAGGATTAAAAATACTTCTCCTCTTGGGGAGAGGAGGAAACTGGAATGAAGGGGACCTTCTGGACACTGGGTGTCAAGGACGTGTCCTTTGAAGGCTGCCACAGGACAGGGAAAGATCACTAAGCCTCCCTGGCCAGCCTAGCCAGAGGGCAGCCCAGTGCACCCAGCCAAAGGGAGGCTCCCCGCTCCGGTAGCCTTCCTGAAAGCAGAAGACTGTGCGTTGCCTCTTTGGCCCAGCTCCCCAGTTAATAAGCACTCTCATTATTCCACGTGTAGGAACAGGCCGCATAGGACACACAGTATCCGTCTTTACACAAGTCCCGGGCTCTGACCACCACTGGGGACAGAAAAATGACTTAATCTGTTCAAGGGACTCTTTCAGTGTTGGTGAAACTTGCTTTCCTGACAAGTGTGGCCACACTCCCCGGCCTGGCTGTGTCTATAGTCCCCTCCCCGGGCGATCCTTTGACGACCCCTTCTGTCCCAGCCTAACCATCCTGCCATAAGATAATGCTTCCCTCACGCTGTCCCTCTTTGCTTCCTGGGGCTGTTAAATTGTTGCAAACTTGCTGGCTTAGAGCAAAAGAAACTTATTCTCTTGCAGTTTGGAGGGTCAGAAGTCTGAGTCACCAGACAAAATCAAGGTGTCGGCTACAATCCCCCCAGAGGCATTAAGAGAGAAACTGTCTCTTGCCTCTTCCAGATTCCAGGGGCTGCCGGCATTCCTTGACTTGCGGCCACATCACTCCAACTGACGTCTGCCTCCAGGGTCCCTTTGCTTCCTCTTCTGTCTGTGTCGTATCTCCCCTTGCCTCTCTCTTAAAAGGTCACTTGTGATGTCATTCGGAGCCTACCGAGATAACCAAGGACAACCTCCTCATCTCAAGATCACATCTACACAAAGGTTCCCATTGAAGACAACATGCACAGGTGACAGGGTTGGGACTCAGTGTCTAAAAAGGCCACCATTCGGCCCACTACACCAGCTCACAGTTTTACTGCTGTCTCTCTCCCTTCTATTTATCAGGGGACATTAACCTGGTCAGGACCCCGCTTTCTTTTCCCTCAACGGGGAAGCATTCATTGACCACTGAGTTAGTGTGGGTTTCACAGACCCCCACCCCTTTTTCCTGGGGGTTAATCTTCTAACCACCTTTGAGGGCTACACAGGAAGTTCCCGAGTTCTCCCTTATCGCTAGCCCCACTGGCAACACCTGTCATTTGGAGTTGCAAAATCCTGAATTTCCTTTGGGGACCGTTGTCCCATGGAAAGGAATGTAGCTCTGTCCATGTGGTTTGAAGGCAGTTAGCTTCCCCCAACCCCGCAACCCCAAAGTACCTTGAACAATGTATACTACTTAAAACTTGCCAGTGACTTAGTACATCTTGGTAAGAATATACGGGAACTGATGGGAGATCCATCAGGACCAGTCAGAGCGCTTCACTGCCCCTGTCCATGGTGAGTGCTTCCGGGCTGGGCATGTGACCCAAGTCCTGGTGAGACTCAGACCTGGACTTCTACTAGCAGAGTCTCTTTTTCTCTCTGATAGACTTGAAGCTGGAAGGATATAAGCCCACAGCTGCTTGGCACTGCTCCATGGGGAATCTGCCCTAAAATGGAGCCCATAAGAGGAAAGAAGAACCAAAACACGGAGGACAAATCTAAGATCCAATGACCAACTTTTGACTTCCTGGATCCAGCCGTGCCTGAAATGATCTCTATCCTGGAACATTTCAGTTGCTTGAACCACATCACCTTTTTTTCCCCCTTAAGTTAATGTCAGTTGGATTTCTGTCATTTACTATTGGGAGAGTTCTCACTAACACATTTGCCATGCAGCTGCCTGCTAGTAGTTGACTTCTTGAGTCTAAGCAGGAGACACTCAATATCACACAGGGCCTAGAGCCCACCTGTTCTGTGCTAGGTACTATGCCTGGGCTTCATACATGAAAAGAGAAAGCCTCCATTCCTCCTATCACAGATTTTTTTTCATTAAACTGGGGACTCAGGAAATAAGTGAAGTCATGCTTCTAGTTGATCTAATTTATGAGGGTTTTCCTCATAGCTTTATCAGCCCATTCACTCTGACCTTCAGATCTTTTTCTATTGTGCGTGAGATATTCAGTCCTACCTTAGATATCCTAACAGTAGGATTTTTTCCTCTGTATGTCTGGGTGTTCAACACCGAAACAATCTCTCTGATTGATGAAGTCAGCGGAGCTTCATTTATGGCCTAAAGAAGGCTGGCTTTGGCCTAGAGAAGCTCCGGACCTGTGAGGATATACTTCTTCCCTGCTAGTATTTTACGCAAAACAGAACTGCGTTGTCCCTTTTTGCCTTTTAGAATGGTCAGAATTGCTGCAGAGTGCTGGGGAACTCTCAGGGGCACTTTGTAAGAAAAGCTCAGCTTCTTCTAATCTCTTCCTGGTTCTGATCACTAAACACCTTCTCACTTTAGGCACCTTTGGCCCTCCCCTTTTGGGGTTTGACTCCTTATTTTCTTAAAGTAACTTCCATGCCCCGTGAGGGGCTTGAATTCACAACCCTGAGATCAAAAGTGGCATTCTCCACTAACTGAGCCACCCAGCTCCCCCTGACTTTTCATTTCTTTTCTCCTTCTCCTTCTTCTTCTCTTTCCTCCTCCTCCTTTTTCTTCTTCTTCTTTTCTTTCTTTCTTTCTTTCTTTCTTTCTTTCTTTCTTTCTTCTTTCTTCTTCTTCTTCTTTTTAAAGTTTTATTTATTTCGGGACCCCTGGTTGGCTCAGTCAGTTAAGCACCTGCCTTTGGCTCAGGTCATGATCCCAGGGTCCTGGGATCGAATCCCACGTCAGGCTTCCTGCTCAGTGGGGAGTCTGCTTCTCCCTCTGCTGACTGCAGCTCTCCCTGCTTCTGCTCTCTCTCTCTCTCTTTCTCTCTCTGACAAATGAATAAATAAAATCTTTTTTTAAATTTTTACCCATTTTATTTGAGAGAGACAGAGCAAGAGAGAACACACAGCACATAAGCAGGGGGTGGGACAGCAGGAGAGGGAGGGAGTGGGACAAGCGGGCTCTGCACTGAGCGCAACCTCAGCCAGAACCATGAGTCAGGAGCTTAACCAACTGCAGCCCCCACTCACCCTCCGCCCCTACTCCTTATTTCTTAAATGAAGGAACTGACCTTGGTCAGGTTTGGCATCTATTTCCTATTGCTCCCAAGTCCATGCCACACATTTCTGGCTCATCGCTGTGTTTTTGCTCATTGAGCCTAAACACAGCCTCAGAATCCTTCTCAACACTGAGCTGGGTGATCTTAAAGTTTCTTCGAAATCTTACTTAACTTTATATGATCCTGAGGCTTTCGGACATTTTCACTACCTATTGTTTAAACTTTACCCCTTTCCATCAATAGCTGGGGTTCATGCGGTTCCTGTCCCCCCCACGCCCCAGACATGGGGCAAGGTTGGAGATCTTGCGTCCCTCCCCCAGATCCAGGAACGTCAGCAACATAGCTCAGTATCGTGAGATGGTGCCCAGCAGCAGAAGGTCTTATTTCCATAGCTCTGTGCAGATTTAGAGGCAAACATACCCTAATTAATTCCATTATACAGTTAATGTAATTAGTCAGATTTACGTGTAAGGACCAACACTTGTGACTCAAATATTTCCATTGTTTTTTGTTTTCCTCTTCTTCGAAAGGTTCCAGCCCCTTAAATTTGTACATTATCTGTGCCTGCTATATCTAGAGAATACAGTTGTCATTCACTTCATTTAATTAGCTTATGGATTCTAAATTATCTGCTACCATAAAATGTGATTTTATACTGCAGATTACAAAGGTTTTCAGAAATTAAATATGCCACTTTTAATTGGTGAAAAGTACCCTAAAGGATTCATAATATTTTTTACTGCACTTGCATTTAGGCTCAAGAGAGAGAGAGAGATTGAAGATGTTTAGTAAGAAATGGGATTTGGGTCAGTGAGATTGGTGATGAATTATTTGGAATAAGGCAAATCTGGAGGGATGAAGTCATAAATATAACCATCAAAGGATTGCGTCTGAGCAGTGAGATCAGTGAGTTGAAAACGGAGCATCTCCTGGTTTTCATACTCCCAGCTCGTCATTTTGATGGACTAACCATGTATTTATGGCATACAGCTCCAAGTTTGCAGCGATGACTAAAAATGATCTATTTTCTGCTCTGCTTTTCCAGCTATTAAATCCATAATCATCTGCGTATACGGCATTACCACACCTTCTAACTGCATTCTTGGCCTTATTGATGGCTAGGCTCAGTTGTACAGCTGGGCGGCCATTGTTCCGGCCAAAGCAAACGGCTTCTTTTTGATCCTTGGACTATGGAAATGCCCTACACGCTGGTCATAATAAAGGGGCTGGGTTATTGGGAGCAACTTCAAGGATTTCCACACTCATCTGTCTTCATGGGTTGCAAATAAAAGTTTATAAAACATGACAATGGGCATAAAAAATCTAGAGCCTTAAAGAGAAGGTTTGGAAAGAGTCAGAGGTCAGGAAATGTGAGTGAGGCCGTGAGGTGTCCGTGCCCCTCTGGGGCCCTCTCTGTTTCGAGAACCCGGTCCTGATTATCCTCTAAAATCAGCAAGGTACAGTGCCTGCTCTTTTGAGTGAAGGCATTGAAGGTCTCTGTTAGAAGCAAGTGTGGAGCTAGGGTTAACTCTTAGTACTTTCATGGTAATTAATTTTATGGGCTGAGTTTGGCTATGGGAAACTGGCTCTAGTCTGAAAGGTTTTCCAGGGGGAAAAGACAACAGTGCAGACTTTGGTAGCAGGCTGGGGAAAGATGGGGATTTGAGAAGCCCAAGCTTGCGTGAGAGTCTGAAAGGGGGAAGTGTGCAAAATTAATAATCGTTATTATGAATAGGTCATAATGCCTAATCCTAGTGTTACGTTTTATTGAGTACATACTATGTGCCAGGCACCGTGCTGGACTCTTGGTTCTATTGGCCCCCGAATGCAAGAGATCAATTATAATACAGTGTAGATTTCACAGAAAGAAAGACAACCATGGGCTGAGATACATGGAATGACTTATCTGCAATCTCACCGTCCACAGAATTAGGTTGTACAAGCAAGTCTGTTTACTCCTTAGGCCAGCTGGGATGGCAGAGTGCTGAGGAGAAGGCTTAGAGGCGTGCTGGGGGAAGCTTCTTGTTCAGGCCAGCAACTTCCAGAGGGTTCTCCCAGGTCAGTCCCCCGCTGACGGAGCACCTCCTCTGGGGAGAACAGATTCTGGTCTGCAAGAGGGAGGCCAATGGGAATAAGATTCTGCCTCAGGCAACTGGCCAGGAATCTCTTTCCAGACTCGATCTTCTAGCTCCTTCTGATTCTCCTTCTCTGGAATATACCCACCCTTTGTTTTCTAGGTACACGTGGAACGTGGATCCTCCATGGCAAACTTTCTTCTCCAACCTTGAAATACTTCTGCCTTTCCTAGTAAAAAGTCACCAGATGGCCTCATTTTGGAAAAACTAGAGACAAGCAAAGGGAAAACATAAAGATGCTTCTGGAACCTATCACGCAAGGGTGGAAAGCAGCGATGTATACATCTGTCCATGCGTGCACATGCACACACACACACGTGCATGCACACAAATGAGTTTTCCTTGCTTTCACATTTCACAGGAGGGGAAATGCCAACGCACAGGGTTTCGCTCTCAGCCTCCCTGACCCTCAGATTTCCCGCTGAGTAAAGGGGACAGATCACAGTGCCTTCCTCACGTTAATCTTTGTGAGGACAGGAGGAAGGAAGCTGGTAGAGAATTGAGAAGAATCTTACACGAAAAAGCGCTTAATAAGCATTACCTGCAATCCCAACTATTAGCAAAACTCTAACATGGTCACACTTCCGTGCTATTAAGCATCCTTGGATAGTATCTCTTTACAACAATTTTACTCTTTTTTCATTATGCGAGTAAATATGCGTATTTATAAAACCAGGGATAAACAAAATGATAAACCGTAAAGCCATCCATAATCCCATTGATAAGGAGATGACTACCATTGCATTTTAGTTTACACATTTGCAACTTCATTTAATATATACACGTGTCTGAGCCTCTACAGCACCTGTGATTTTATAACCCACTCTTCTGCCCCCTTAAAAAAAGTGGTTGTGCCCATTATCTCAGGTAATTATGGGATTTGCCCCCCACCCTCCCACCCAGAAATCAAGAGAGCTCAACAATAGTCCATAGACAAGACTGGACATAATCTACTGAGTCCATTCTCTACAGCAAACATTTAGTCCTTTCCCAAAATTTTGCATTTGTCCACAGTGTTGCCACATCCTTGGGTCCTGGGAGAATACATTCCCAGGATGGGGATTTCTGGGTCAAAGAGTTTGCGGTCTTTAAGGCTCTCGATAACGGTGGCCGCGTGCCCTCGGGGCTTTGTGCAGAACCGCAAGGCAGTCCTGATAGTGCATGACAACCGGGTTGTTGCTACCGCTGGCTGGCGACAGATTTTGAATCCCAGCTTGGTGACTGTATTAGGCATTGTGCTTCTGGGCCGCCAACCCTCCTGGTCCATTGAAGAATAATCAGCAAACGCCTGTTCCCTTTGTGTGTGTGTTAGCCTAAGGATAGCAGGAGGCATACTTGAAAGAAATAAATGATTAGGTTCGACAATGGAAAGGTAAACAGAATCATAATTCACAAGATTTCCCATTGTTCTTTGCTGACTTTAATTCTATAGCCATAAAGCAGACATAATCAGCGATTCAATGCAAGACCCTTATTGAACACGTACTTTGTACAAAGCTGGCAGGTAGGTGCGAAAAATAGTACTGGATATT